TACAGTAGATGGATGCAGCTTCAGGTTCTAACGCCAAGATCAGGCGACTGTTTGGAATTCCTCCCTGAAACAAGTATTAGTTTTGTAAGACAATAACATGATCGATGACCAATAGGAACACATATAATGCTTAATTTTTATAAACATAATCAATCTCCCTGAAAATGCATCAACTTATAGCTACAATAAATGGGGAATGCGTCCATGGGACACAAATGGTGCCCCGCTTACAAACAATGTTATAAAGGGACATCACTCAAGAACAGTAAAACTGATACTAACAAAATTTGTATTTGATCTCAGTTTTGTGGTAACAAGCATTGTGTATAGATTTCATAACATTTGTTTGAGGCAAACTAAAGTAAGAGACCGGAAACGAAAAATTCAGCATTTTTTCCATTTGTAAAGATGCATAAATCTAGAACGGTAAAAGTGACGTTACCCAAATTCAAAGTTGATCTGTGTTTTGTGGTAATGATCATTGTGTATAAGTTTCATATATTTTGGTTTAGGCAAACTAAAGTGAGAGAATGGAAACCAATTGTGGGACGTACGTACGTGTACAGACGAACGTACAGACTGACAAGGGCAAATAATTCCCTTCCATTATGGAGGGGGAATAGTAAAAAATATATAACCTGATAAATTGCCTTGGAAACCAATTTTGGGACGTACGTACGTGTACAGACGAACGTACAGACTAACAAGGGCAAAACTTAATGTCCCTTCCGTTATGGAGGGGGAATAGTAAAAAATATATAACCTGATAAATTGCCTTGTAAACCTTTTGGAATAATTCTTTTGATATGTACTAAAATAAACAGTGTCACAGCTTCATAATGAAGTTTTGATAATCTAAAAGATTGCATGACTTATTTCTTTATTTAAAAAGCATAATATTATGACCAAATTAAAATTGCTCATAAAGACGAAGTGAGAATAACGTTTTAATGAACCCGAATACAATCTAATTAAATATTATAGATCTCTGATTTCGTTATACTACAGTATAAAAAATAAAAATTATAAATATGCCATACATTATTAGCAGCCTCCCTCATAAATTGTTTGGCTGGATCTGACCAGATAGCTGGTACTGTTAGAACCCAGTCTATTTCCTGTGGCTTTATACCGTCTGTCTTACTTCTAATGTGTTCCTCTAGGTGCGTTCGGAGAAATTTAATGCTCTCCGTGAAGACTCTCATTGCTGGCATCAGACAACCATTCTCACCTTCCAACATAAAATCCCTCGATATTTCCTGTTGGTATTAAATGTAGTTACGAAAAACTAAAGAGTTTAAATGTTATAGTGAATCACAATAAATAAATGGGGAATGTGTCCATAGGGACACAGATGATGCCCCCACTAGCATGTAACGCTATAAAGGGACATAACTCGAGAACTGTAAAAATGACGCTTCCAAAAATTTAACTTAGACTGAGTTTTGTGGTAAAAAGCATTATATATACATTTCATTACATTGAATTGAGACAAACTCAAGTTAGAGAACGGAAACGACAAATTCAGCAATTTTTTTCATTTGTAAAGGGGCATAACCCTAGAACGGTAATCAAAGTGCTTGTAAGCACTGAATGGTAAAGATTGCTCCAGTTTATCAGAAGGAAGTAAAATTGAATATTCAGTTGCATTGTATAAAGCATTGGTTGTAGTTGATTCAACTACCATTCTAGACAAAGAAAGATACCTCCAATTTTCAAAGAAGACTTTAAAATATTTTTAGAAATGAAGGGTAAAAATTGCTTGAATTTATCAGTGGAAGGCAAAATTAAACATTGCATTGTATAAAGCATTACTATAGTTGATTCAACTATAATCATGGACAAAGGAAGATAACTCAAATTTTAAAAATTACTTGATATTTTTAGAAAAAAAATGAAAAATTTGCAAAATTTTTCCATTTGTAAAGGACATAACTCTAGAACAGCAAAAGTGACGGCAGCAAAAGTGACGGCAGCAAAATTCAAACTTGATCTGTATATTGTGGTAATAAGCATCGTGTATAAGTTTCATAACATTTGGTTGAGGCAAACATAAGTTAGAGAACGGAAACGAAAAATTTAGTAATTTTTCCATTTGTAAAGGAGCATACCTCTAGAACGGTTAAAGTGACGCCACCAAAATTCAAACTTGATCTGTATTTAGTGGTAATAAACATTGTGTATAAGTTTCATAACATTTGGTTGAGGCAAACTAAAGTTAGAGAACGGAAACCAACTGTGGGACGTACAGACGTAGGTACGTACGTACGTACGTACAGACGGACAAGGGTAAAACTTTTAATGTCCCCTCCGCTACAGCGGGGGCATAAAAATGGTAAAACCGTCTGCCATTTGATAACCGAGTATTTGCAATTAATGATATCTCCTCGTGAAATTCAAAATAAATTGTCCAAAATGATGCTTTTTATCATGAAGGAGATGTGGTTTGACCGCCAATGATCCCACATTGTCCAAAAGAAACATAATTTGAATGATGTTATATATAGGTATCCATGAAACCTTTTCCTAGGACATTAAGCAACCAGTCATCTTTATCAACAAACCTTTCCAATTAAAAGCCTGATGTGTATTACATTCTGATAAAATTTTACAAACCTTTTTGTCATACAGTTGCATTTTAAATCTTTTAAAGAAGAACCAGTCCATATGTTCTTCCTCTTGTGCTAGCTCTGTATATTTATCTTCTGCTTCCCCGCCAAACGACTCAAAAACTTGATTTTGATTAAACAAAATGCATGTGGGTGTTTTGAGGGAAAGACCTGGCTGTGAACCTGTATGCCAATGGCTACCAGACACTCTTGTAGGATCAACTTTGTAGTCATTTCTTATAGCAAATGCATATCCCGAAAATGTTGTACCAAAATCTATAGCTGCCACCAGTAACGATTCTGAAATTGTCTCACCACACGCCATTCTAAACGAGTGGTATCTTTACAGATGCTTGAGCTGAAAGTAATATAATCAATATAAAGTTAAAGAGACGTTGGAGGATTGCCAGTGAGAACACTATCCATAAAGAGCAAAGGACAAAGATGTAAACAACAACAGGCCACCTACGGTCGTCGTCATTGTAAAAATCCATTATGTACAGATAGTTATAAAAGCCATGATAAAATGAGAAGGGGATTCAAAAAACAAAACAACAGGTCTGATTTATACTAATAATCAGCACGAAAAAACACATACAATGTACGACAGACAGCAACCGAGGACACCAACTACCACTTGATTACATGTTACTACTTTTGGGACAAGCACACAAAGAATGCCGCGAGGTTTTAAATGTTTGGTAGCACTGTACACTCCCTCTAACTTGGGACAGCAGTGTTTCAACACGGAGTAAACATAAGACAAACGTAATTGTAATTGTAAATAAATTAGGCCGTTGGTTTTCTCTTTTAAATTTGTTCAACCATTTTCCTGTCGGGGCCTTTTATAGCTAACTATACATTATGGATTTTTCTCGTTGTTGAAAATCATGCGATGGCTCATTTTTGTTTATTTACGAACGCACTTCTTTATCATTTGACTTTAATTAGGTTACCATATTTATATGCCCTAGCCAACGCTTTTGGTTTAGTTATTTTGAAGGAGAAGTAGTAGGAACAATGGACCATCAATTCAGAAAAAAAGGGACCGGATCGTAATGGCTGGCGAAGTTATTATTGCAGTTCAATATTTTTGTCAGTCTAATCGTTTCATCAATATATACTCGAGTGTTCGTTGTTGCTTATTTGTTATATAAATTAATGTTTAATTTAAACTGTAATTGTTCTGCTCCACAGGCGTCTTTGATTGACAAATAAAAATTGTTGCTGTTGTCATTTAGGAAGGAGTATGTACCCTTTTGTTGATTCAATACTAATGCTATGGAAATTTTATAGTCAATCTACAGTCTTTCTCCTTGTACACTAAGATTTGACAATTCTATACTTAATAGATAGAGAAATAGTCCATTCAGTGCTAGCAATGATTTCCTTATTGCACGTGTTTTAATAAAGATATGAATTAAAACAATCACAAATATGGACTATCAAATTACACCTTCTGGGGTTATGTTTACTTTAGTAACTCAGCACGAGTATTGTTAGATTGTTAAGGCTGTTTGAGATTTTTTTTGTAAACAATAAACGCTAACACAACACGAACAAACAAGGGAGTAATCTTTATTACGATGCTATAACGAGAATCACTGTAATGAAGTATGTAGATTTTCTGTAAAAATCTTGGCTTGATTTGCCACAAAGAACCTATTTCCTTTTAAATACAACAACATCATAAAAAGTATAATTGCTGTGAACAACGCCAGCCTCACTTTCGCCAACAATGACCGGCCTCTTTTATCCTTATTTTTTTGTATTGAAAATTTCATAATACACAGGCCTACAGAAGGGTACATGAACTAAGAAATTGTAATAACTTTTGCATAGACAGTGGCGGATCCAGAAGTTTTCATGGCTTACTGGTGGCATAAGAGGGGGCCCGCTCCAGTCATGTTTCAGTGATTCCCTAAATAATCAAACATTTTTTTCCTACAATAGGGGGTCCGGGTTCCCTGCCCCCCCCCCCCCCCCCCCCCTAAATCTGCCTCTGGTAAATACATTATTATACATACATGTACATTGTACATATCATACGAGTTTCTTTCATAAATGTCATAGTTGTTTGATGTGGTGACTTATGTTCATGCACACAGATCTTTCTATTATAATTGCATTTATAATGCGTAAAAGTTACGTCCCGGAGTTCTCGAGTCGAGGGTAAGCAAATAGCTCGAAGAGTTGAAAGATATACAACAGATCATTAACCTTGGTTAAGTAAGTTCTGGTGAACTAGACAAATGTAAAACTATCATGGGTACATCCATCGATGACCAATATGTGTTTTAAGTTTTACATACCTGTCGTAATGAACAAAACTGTGTTTTGGATTGTGATAGCAACCCGGAAGATAAATACACATATACACCACGTGATCAATGTTTGTTATTTCACAATTGTGTGCATTAAAGTGCTTATTTAAAATCTATGGTATGTGATCAAGGTGAATCGATTCAAAATATTGACAGTTATGATCTTTACTAGAATGTAATTTGTAAGTATTTATTAGTCAGCACTTATCATTTGGAAACATTTGAAAATTTACTTCAAATACACTGAGAGATTAATCAAAACATCTGATAATGTGAAGATCGCGTCATGACCATTTTAACAATTTAATTGAGTCACGTAACTATATATTTTCCGTAGTGTATTTTACTATAAATATGTAGTTTCACTTTAAATATCATGATCCATCCATCGAAGTTATATTTAGCTAATATTCTTTTTTCTTTAACGGTTCTGTTTGACATTAATTAACGGTCATGTATTGGGTCATTGCCTTTATAAACATTGTTCAAGGAAACGGAAACCGAAAGTAAATAGTTTATTCGAGAAACCGTGACTGTTTACTAGTATCCAATAAATACAATTAGCAATATAAAAGATAGCACATTAGAGAATCACTCTAATACACTGCTAAATAGGAACTTTAAAATGGTATAACATTTTGTTGAAAAATGGTCCGAAGTCATAGCTGATCATAGCTAGGATACTGGTCCAGCCCAGGTCTCTGCCCTTCAAGTGTCCGTAACCTTAGTCACGGATATAAAACTGGTCAAAGTATCATATATTTTGGATGTAACTTTCATCTCCAGGTTGCAGACACAGAAAACCGTAAACATTTAAAAAAAAATGGGGAATGTATCCATGGAACAGTATCATATATAATGAATGTTACTTTCATTTCCAGGTTGCAAACGCAGAAAATGGTAAACATTTAAAAAAAAAAAGGGAAATTTGTCCATGGGACACAGATGATGCATCCCCTTGTATATCAAATAAAATCATAAAAGGACATAACTGAAGAACGATAAAAGTGACACTACCTAAATTTGTACTTGATCTGAGTTTTGTGGAAATAAGTATTGTGTATAAGTTTCATAACATTTGGTTGAGGTAAACTTAAATTAGAGAACAGAAACGAAAAAATCAGCATTTTTATGCTCCCGCCGTAGCGGTGGGGGCATTAAGTTTTACCCTTGTCCGTCTGTACGTATGTACGTCCGTCCGTCCGTACGTCCCAAAGTTGTTCTCTAACTTGAGTTTGCCTCAACCAAATGCTATGAAACTTATACACAATGCTTATTACCACAAAACACAGATCAAGTTTGAATTTTGGTGGCGTCACTTTAACCGTTCTAGAGTTATGCCCCTTTATAAATGGAAAAATTGCAAAATTTTTAGTTTCCGTTCTCTAACTTAAGTTTGCCTCAACCAAATGTTATGAAACTTGTACACAATGCTTATTACCACAAAACACAGATCAAGTTTGAATTTTGGTGGCGTCACTTTAACCGTTCTAGAGTTATGCCCCTTTATAAATGGAAAACTTGCAAATTGTTTTAGTTTCCGTTCTCTAACTTAAGTTTGCCTCAACCAAATGTTATGAAACTTATACACAATGCTTATTACCACAAAACACAAATCAAGTTTGAATTTTGGTGGTGTCACTTTAACCGTTTTTAGAGTTATGCCCCTTTATAAATGGAAAAATTGCAAAACTTGATCTGTGTTTTGTGGTTATGTCCCTTTATACCTATTATGATATGCAAGCGGGGTCATCATCTGTGTCCACATGTGGACACTATCCACATTTATTCAATATATGTTTATAATGAAAAACCCTAATTTAAGAAAACTTGACTAAAATCTTGGTGACCATTTTTTTTTTAAAGTTAACTATCTGCCTTTGACAGAAAACTTTCGAGTGAAACCAAATCAATTACTGTTATAATTGCTTGGCGAAATTGCATTGCATCAAGTTGACCATGCTGAGACGAATGTATGGAATTTAGTTACAGAAAATTTAATTTGAATCAACAGTATTTGCAGATTTGTATGTTAAGTATAGTGAGTTTTGGTTGAGTTATGAGTATTATTATTTTTGGAAGAAAAAAAATACGTCGAAAGCAATAATGGGACAAAGCAGGCTGGGTTGGTGTGGGCTGCTTGTATGGTAATTCAAGTTTCCTTTTATGCATCTTCTTCCACCTCAGAGCAATCAGCTCTTTGATTGTTATCTGTTATTGTGAGAATGTATTTGCTGTTAACTGTTATTGAAAATTGGAATGTTAGCATTTTGACAGCCAATCTTCAGTAGAAATTGAATTGGGATCTTTCCACTAGTAACATGGTGGTCCCGTATTCGGAGAAGGATTCAATTAACATATAGACATTTGAATGGGTTAACAGTACACTAGTCATTTTTGGGGCCCTTTATGGCTTGCTGTTCGGTGTGAGTCAAGGCTCCGTGTTGAAGACCGTACTTTGACCTATATTAATGGTTTACTTTTACAAATTGTGACTTGGATGGAGAGTTGTCTCATTGGCACTAATACCACATCTTATATTTAATCACATAAACATTTTAATATTAGTTGGGTCCAGGACCATTACAGGATATTATATTTATTTCTTTGTAATAAATTCCTTTTTCTATGAACATGTATTTAGAATTATCTTGATTTTTACATATAGGGATAACGATCCTTGTTTCCCTGTATGTGTATATTAAATTCGAACAATTTTTTTAAAATCATGATTACAAAAATTCGTAAGGGTTCCACGGAACCCAGTACTAGGGTCTCGCCTACTTTTGATGTTAGTCGCAGGCTCAACAAAATGGGTAAAAAGTTATTAAATAAACGGGGAATGTGTCCATGGGACACAGATGATGCCCCCGCTTGCATATCATATACAGTTATAAAGGGACATAACTGAAGAACAGTAAAAGTGAACCTACCCAAATTTGTACTTGATCTGAGTTTTGTGGTAATACGTATTGTGTATAAGTTTTATAAATTTGGTTGATGCAAACTTAATTTACTCGGAGAACGGAAACGAAAAATTCAGCATTTTTTCCATTTGTAAAGGGGCATAACTCTAGAAAATTTAGTGACAACCCCAAAATTCAAAAATGATCTGTATTTTGTGGTAATAAGCATTGTGTACAAGTTTCATAGCATTTGGTTGAGGCAAACTAAAGTTAGAGAACGGAAATAAAAAATTCAGCAATTTTTTCATTTGTGAAGGGGCATAAGTTAACTCTAGAACGGTAAAAGTGACGCCCCCAATATTCAAACTTGACCTGTAGTTTGTGGTAATAAGCATTGTGTATAAGTTTCATTGCATTTGGTTGAGGCAAACTAAAGTAACTTAGAGAACGGAAACTAAAAAAATTAGCATTTTTTTTTTCATTTGTAAAGAGGCATAACTTTAGAACGGTTAAAGTGACGCCCCCAAAATTCATATTTGATCTGTATTTTGTGGTAATAAGCATTGTGTATAAGTTTCATAGCATTGGGTTGAGGCAAACTAAAGTTAGAGAACGGAAACGATAAATTCAGCAATTTTTATACGACCGCAAAAAATTTTTGCGGTCGTATATTGGTATGACGTTGGCGTCGTCGTCGTCGTCGTCGTCGTCGTCGTCGTCGTCGTCGTCGTCGTCGTCGTCCGGCGTCGTCGTCGTCCGAATACATATTGGTTTTCGCACTCTAACTTTAGTTTAAGTGAATGGATCTCTTTGAAATTTTACCATAAGGTTCAATACCACAAAAGGAAGGTTGGGATTGCTTTTGGGGGTTTTGGTACCAACAGTTAAGGAATTAGGGGCAAAAAAGGGGCCAAAAATAAGCATTTTCTAGTTTCCAGACAATAACTGTGGAACGGTGTATGGATCTCTCTGAAATTATTCTACAAGTTTCCATACCACAAAGGGATGGTTAGGATTTGCTTTGGGGGGTTATGGCTCAAACCGTTTAGGAATTAGGGGCAAAAAAGGGGGAAAAACAAGGTTGTCCTGGTTAATGGACAAATACTTTAGTACAAAACATAATTTAAAGCAGTGTAAGGGAGATTAATCAAATACTTCATTGAAATTACCTCCCTTACACTGCTTTTAAATTATGTATAAAGTAATGGTTAATGAACAATTAAGATAATTTAAAACAGTGTAAGGGAGGTAAATCAAATACAACGTTTTGGTTACTTCCCTTACACTGCTTTTAAATTATGTTTAAAGAAATGCATATTTATAAAGGAAGACCAGTAAAAATATCTGCAAATATTGCATCTTTTTTTTTACCAAAAAATCCATATGAAAGATTTGACACTATATTTTAAATTCTATTATAAAATAGATTAAGTTAGCACTATGGTAAATTTAAATGGGTAATTATGGTTGCAAACTCCATTGGAAATTTGATTTGAGATTGTGACCATATCTTGAGGCAAAGAATTTTTTGGGGGAAAAAAGGGGGAAAAAAGGGGGGGGGGGTTAAAAAGAAATTGGGGGGGGGGGGGTCAATTTTTTCTTTTTTCAAATTTTAAATATTGAAAAATTTCAAGAAGTAATCTTTAATTGCACAGTATGGCGCATTAGATTTGTAAAATCTTTGACCACATTTATTTATTTGTTATGCCGAATCTAACCGTGTATTTAGATTTTTAATTTTGGGTCCAGTTTTCAAATTGGTCTACATTAAGGTCCAAAGGGTCCAAAATTAAACTTAGTTTGATTTTAACAAAAATTGAATTCTTGGGGTTCTTTGATATGCTGAATCTAAACATGTGTTTAGATTTTTGATTTGTGGGACCCCGCTATCAAATTGGTTCATATTGAGGTCAAAAGGGTCCAAAATTAAACTTCGTTTGATTTCATCAAAAATTGAATTATTGGGGTTCTTTGATATGCCAAATCTAACCGTGTATTTAGATTTTTAATTTTGGGTCCTGTTTTTATACGACCGCAAAAAGTTTGCGGTCGTATATTGGTATGACGTTGGCGTCGTCGTCGTCGTCGTCGTCTGGCGTCGTCCGGCGTCGTCCGAAGACACATTGGTTTTCGCACTCTAACTTTAGTTTAAGTGAATGGATCTCTATGAAATTTTACCATAAGGTTCAATACCACAAAAGGAAGGTTTGGATTGATTTTGGGGGTTATGGTACCAACAGTTAGGGATTAGGGGCCAAAAAGGGGCCAAAAATAAG